TTCCATGTCATAAAGGCTTAGTCATGTCTCTTGACCAATCAATGAGCTGGTGCCCTGACACCTCCCTACACATGACACCACATCAGCACTGTAGGCTTGAAGTATTCTTGTCTGTCTGTTTACAGTGTCAGGGTGGAGAACAGTACTGCAGAATCATTGCCATTCTGTATGCATGTATCCCATTAAGGAGTGTGCTCACCTTGCTTGTAATGTTATGGCTTGTTGTTGCAAGTCGGCCTTTATCTGCTTGAGAGCTTCCCAGTTGTTTGGGCTTCTTTCCATCCACTTATATTGTGCTGCCTTATCAAGTGCATCATGATGAATCTCTCTCTCAATCTGAATCTGATCTTCTGTCAACTGTTGAGATGTGACAGCCCTGGCATTCCATGTTAAACTCATAACAAGACTTTTGTATCAGAGGTGCATCTTGGCTAGATCAGTGTTTCTGCACAGGCATAGGTGTCAAAGAAGGTCTTCTGCCAGGCAGACTCAGAGGAGTATGGCAGACTGCCCACATCCTGGGCACCAGTGGGCAGTTGAGTGGTGAGGAGTTAGACAACACACATGTATCATGGTGTATCTGGGTGAACAGTGGTTGGGCTACCAATAAGAAGTGTCTGAAGTTTTCATGGGGAGCTTCCCCAGTTCGGAGGCAAAGTCAGCCCCCTGCCCTCCAACACCCCCTTCATCTTTGTTGCCTTGTCTGATGATTGCACATGCCTGGCATTGGTGTCCTTCAGCAGTACCATCATGCTGTGGGATGTAGAGACAGGCAAGACCATAGGGAAATGGCTGATTGGGCACATGAGACAGGTCATATCTTTGGCCTTCTCGCAAGACAGCAAGTGCATTGTGTCCAAATCCCGGGACGACACAGTCCACCCTAGTAGGCTGCTGTAAACGTCTGCTGAACAGGGTGGTCGACCCATAGGGTCTTGACTAGCCCAGTAGGTCTCCATTCATTGAGGTCTAATCACCCTAGATACACAGTCAAGCCTGATGGTCTAAACACAGTTAGATCAAGGCTTTCGGGATCCGGCCATCTCATCCCGATTATTGGGCATGACACTCCTTTGCCTGTATAGACAATGCTTTGATCTTGTTGCCATCTGTGAACACATAGTTCCAAGAGTCGTTCAACAGGACCTATAGATAATCCTGAAATGTTCATTGAACACTGCTGGTCCCTGTGTACTGCTGTTCACCTTGATGGATCCCCAACCTTGGCAACTGCAGCTTGCTAAGAAACATGATGTTGACCCATGGCAGCCATTGATCATTATGTACTTTGAAGTCTTTCCCAGTCTTGTCGATCCTCAGCACCATTGCCCTCCTGAAGACCATCAGCTTGGGCTTGAACTGGCAAAAAAAATGTGGAATCTTCTGTTGAGAAGTTCCTGGTTTCTGGAGATCCATCAGGTCTGCTCAGTCCTCTACAGCATTCAATGTATGAGCCAGGTGCTTGTGGACTATATCACTTTCTTCTACAAGCTTGATCATCAAGAGGTCTGCGAATATCTACTAGAACCAATGCCTTCTGGTCCTGTTCCTGAGCGATTGTGGAATCTCTTCCAAGCTTGGTGGCACAGGGGACAATATGTTTGTCTAGGTCCATTGCTTGTTCACTTCCCTGTAACTGTCTATTAAACTTCCCACCCAGATCAAAGCTCCCTTTGCCAAGCTCATCAATGCTTCAAAGACTATTATCATGCCTTGCAGGTCTTTGGGGCAAAGGACCTACAGGAATCCTTACTCAAGATACTGGATATGGGTAAACCTTGTGCATGGGTTCATTTCAGCATCCTCATAGACCAATTTCTTGCTCTTAGTATGCTCCTTCATTTTCCCCACTTCATTGTTCCTGAAATGGCTACAAATCCCAAGTACAGGTCATTAAACAATGACAGTAGACCAAACTCTGTAGCTCAATCTGTAGAGCAGCTTCTTATGTAGTTACCTGATCACCAGGAACAGTGATCATCATGATCTAATGCTTGGCTTTGCATCACAGGGGCTAATCTTCACTCAGAGGTTACCCAGTTCCTGTCTCTACACTGTCTAACCAGTGTCACAACAGACCTAGTGATCCAATATGATTTTATAGAGATATTTTCCTTGTGCTGTTCCTGTCAAATCCACATTTGTGCTTTCCCTCAGGATCTTGGTGTCAATGCTGCACCATGATCTCCTGCTTATCCAAAGTCACTTTCTTGCAGTTCTCCTGATCTCACATATGTCCAGATGTCCACACTTGTTGATTACATGAGATGTCAAAGGAGAGCAAGAGACTGTCTCAAAACAGTCTGCTGTACAAGAACATGTAGGTCTACAAACATCACAGATCTCACAAACCATTGAAACTAATGAACCTTAGGAATGGTGAGCTGTTGTTTTGGATCAAAGATGACACCAATATGTATTGAGTTCTCCCAACCTGCTCGTCACTGTGAACTGTGACCACACCATGAATCACTTGCAAAACTGATCCTGGGTTGGCAGTCCCATTTGAGCGAGAGTCAGATTGCAGAGCCTAGACCTTTGTTAGTTTGGTTATCACCATTTGATATCTATTCAACTGATGTCCATGTAGGCCCACAATTGATGCATCACCATGATTGGTCGGCATAGATCCATACTGCTGCTTGCTCTAGCAATCTCCCACTCTTGGAGGGCATAGGCATCACGGACGAGGCTCAGCTGGAACATGTAAGCCTAGGATCATCACATCCACAAATGCAAGACCAGCTCACCTCCATTTTCTCAACCAGCAAATTGAACAGTTCTGCCAGCTGCTCCTTTCTGAGCTCACTACCACAATCTCCCATGCCTGAGCCCTTGCTCTCTGTCTTGCTGGCAAGAGGAGCAGCTGCAAGATCCTCAGTGCTCTCCATCTTGAGTGTCATAGGAATGATTGCATTCAGCTTGCTTGAGGTTGAGATCATAGGTTCCTTGTGATTTAGGGTACAAGTCAAAGGCTCTGTTCTACAGATTAGTGGGGTGATCTTCATTTTCCTGCTGACGCACTGTGGTCCTTCCTTGTCCCAGACTGCTGGGAGCCAGGAGCCTTGCTGTGGGAAGGCTTTACACAACCAGCTTTCCTCTTGCTTTTGGAACCCATTCAAGAGCTATTCCTATAGATCATAGATATGCTCAATGAGAATGAATGATTGTATCTTGGACTTGAGATCTTTCAAGGGCAAGTGACCCTAGAAGGGAGTGTGTATGAGTAAGGGCAAAGATCATGTGCCCAGCTATATGCATTGTGGTCTGAGATCAGCAGTGCATCTTGGGTTTGTTCTTACAACATTCTGAAGGCATTATGGCTGCACTCTCTATAGAACCTTGAATAAGATATGAGTGAAAGTTCATATCCTCATCTTCTAATACCATCAAAAGAAGATCAATCCTCCATGTTGATAGGTCCATCCATCCTACAATCATAGATCTCCATACTAAAAAGGGTGCAGAACAGCAACTTGAGGCACTGAGCCATGATGCATGTCTGGCAATCCCCAAATCACTGACAACATTTTCTAGCTTTGATCCATTCCCTGGGCTTGACAGTCTAAGTGATCAACAGTTCTGGAAGGCCCTTCTTGCTCCCCCTATTCCCAGGCTCTCAAATCATACATGCTCTGCTCTGAGTGAGGTTGAGCAGAATGGCCCTCATTTGTCTTCCAGAACCTGGTTTCCCTGATAGCTCGACCACTTTCAATACTTCTTCTCTGCTTGATCCAACACTTCTGGAAGATCTTACTTAGTTGTCTATCTCAAATACATCTATGGATGTGCCTATGGAGCCAGGGATGGTAGGTACCCCATTAATAATGCTTTGAGATTGCTCAAGTGACCTTACAGTTGCAATCCCTTGACAACAGCCTGGAACATTGGACAGAACCTTTCCTTTCCTTTTCTGCTCAACAGGATCTTCCCTCTGTGATATCTATCCATGAATTTGAACCACCTTCTTCTCATCAGATCACAGACTTCTCTGTCAAAATGCTGCAACCTTCCCTCCACCCACAACCCCCCAATGGGATCATGGATAACCAGACCAGATCCCTCTCAGGGGATTCATCCATCTTCTTCAAACCTTGAGCTTGCCAATCCTCATCACTTGATTGGCCCTGATGATGATGGGATGGACAGTGAGGATGACAATGATGACATGGGACCCATCAATCAGGAGGAACAGAGGGTTATGGACACTCTTCAGCAAAGTCTTTCCAGATCTTCTGCCTCTGAAGATGCAGTGGATCTAAGAGAGTGTGCTTTTACTCTCTTATCCTCTTACTATCATCAGATCTGGCTGTGAGCACTGGGTGCACTTCCAAAAAGCTCAAAGCTGGGTTGCTGCATTGCTAAAGCCCTTGTTCAAGCAATCATAGACAAGACCTGCAAGCATTATGAGCTGAGCCCTGATTGACTTTGGAAAGATATTGGTGGCTTCTTGTTGCTAGCTCAAACCATAAATGTGTGGAATCTGTATCAAAAGCATGCAAGATCTCAGCTTGCTCCTGGAGGTAAGCACTTTTCCCAGATCTGGAAATACAGCTAATAAGTTGATCTTAGAGCAATACAACCCCATGCATACCTGTCAAATGTATCATCAAGAAGCCAGAAACAACCCAGAACAACTGGGCTGGTCAAAAAATTATCCAGCAGTGAAGCAGATCAATCAGGAGAACTGCGAGTGGATAACAAAGTAATATCAAACATCTTGGTTCAGCAAGACAGGGGTGTAGTAGATATATGCAGTCCAGGGACCACCAAAAGCAGAAGAAATGGTGGATGGCCAACAATATGATCATTGCATAATAATCAACGGCCTGATCAGAATTTAGATCCAGAAATTCCACATGGGAATATGTGATCCACATACCTGGAGATTTTGCAAATTTTGGACTAGGTGAATAGCTCTGGCGATGTGGAAATCAATTAATTAATTTGATTGCAAGATAACAGGAGATGTGCTTTAACTGCACCATGGGTGCTTTGCTGAAAGCTCTTTGGAACTTTGTTCCTCAGATGATTGCCTTGCTCTCTTTCTCCCTTAACTGGGGATGGTCCCCAGATTGTGCTCACACTCTTCAGAGGAGCACTTTTGGTGCTGTTGCCTCAGGGATTGTTGTTGAAGAGAGATGCTCCCTGAGAATCAATTGGGAGCTGGCAGAGCCCTCCTCCTCTTGTGCTCCTCATTGTAAGACCACACTGCCCCATTACAGTGAACAATGAGGGTGGGATTGATCTTTGCAGGATCTTGGATGGCAGCTGACAAGGGTATCTTAGTGAACAAAGTGTTCTTAGACATAGAAATGTATACAGTACCTTTTGACCAATGTTGAACCCCAGTTTGAATCACATTAACTTGTGTGGTGTAGTGGATCCAGACCAGCTTTATAAGGTTGGCTGGAGTGGTCTGGAGCTCTCCCTGAAGCTCATGTGGCCACAGTCCATTG